CTCCTAGCAGTGGTCTCCGGTCTTAGGGTCTCAGACAAAGTCGCTGCTCCTGCCCTGTAGGTCTGTGAGGTCTGGCTGGGCCGGTCGGTCTCCGCATCTTCGATCCATGCCTGTGTCTTGATCCGTCTGGGAGTCTGTCTGTCCATGGTCTGTCCTCTCTCGGGAGCCCTAGACTGTGAGAAAACCAGGTCCTGGTGTTCCCCTGCCCTGGCCAAGCCCTTCCCCTTTCTGGGTCCCCATCAATAGAGGATACAAATAGCTGAGTTGTGCCCGCCCACCGCCAAATTCATATGTTGAAGTCCTAATCCCCAGCACCAGGCGACTGCATTTGGAGACAGGGCCTTTATAAAGAGATGATTAAGTTAACATGAGGCCATTAGGGTGGGCCCTAATCCATTATGACTGGTGGCCTCATACAAAGAGGAGACTAGGACACAGATGCACACAGGGAAGGCCACGTGAGGACGCAAGGAGAAGGTGGCCGTCTGTAAGTCAGGGAGAGAGGCCTCCAAAGGAGCCAGCCCTGCGGACGCTTTGATCTTGGTCTTCTGGCCTCTGGCACTGTGAAGATAAACTTGTGTGGTTTAAGCTCCCCAGTCTGTGGCACTCTGTTATGGCAGCTCCGAGCAGACTCAGAAGGCCCCACTCTCTGGTACTGACTGTTCTCTCCCAGCAGGGCAGCAGCCACTTGTGGCCAAGGCTGCCTCCCCAGGTGGGGCAGGGGCTGGGCCTGGAGCCCCTCAGGGTCCTCACCATCCATGGCACGGACTTGGCTTGAGGAACTAGACAGACACTCTGTTCAGGCCCAGCCCTGCCAATGGCCACGACTCGCAATGCGCAGGAGAGATTGCCGCCCTCTGGGCTCTGACCCTGGGGGGCTGGGTTCACAGGTCCAGGGACCCCTGAGAATCCTTGTTTCTAACCAGTGTTCCCCAGTGGTGCTGCTAGGCAGTGGGTGAGTTCCGGCAGCTTGTGGAGATCAGCTGGCGTCAGCTGTGCAGCAGCCTGGCTGGTGGCCCTGTCGAGCCCAGGGACTTACTTCCAATTGAGGCCCAGGAGTTTTGGCTTCAGACTCCACGGCTGTTTCTGGCTCCTCCGGCAGCTCTGGCTTCTGGATAATTGGGGTCTCTCTGGCCTTGGGAATGTGACTGTCCTCCCACCATTTAAGAGTCTTCATTCTAGGGCAACAAGCCTTGTGGTTAATACTGTGCTTAGTCTCCCCCCACCCCCTCCCTGTTCCCTGGGCTGGGGGTCAGAAGACCAATTTTCCCTCCATTTGCTGGTTCTGTGACCAGCACTGCACTGCCCTCATCAAATGCAGATACAAATCCCTATTCTCTTGAGCTGGATCCTCTTCCTAGCCTCTTTCCTGGCCTCATGCCCCAGAGATGGCTTGCAACTCCCCTGCTCCTGGCCCTCCCATGGCTCCCCAGCACTCCCAGCACAAAGTCCCAGCCCTCCCGCTCAGTGGCCCTCCACAGCTGTGCCTCTCCTCAGCTTCTCTTCCAGCCCTCTAATGTCTCAATATGTATACGATTTTTTTTTCCTAGACAAATCTTTTTTGCACCTTTCCTCTTAGTATTTTTGGCATATGTGTGCATATTAGTACACAGAGAGCTTCCTTCGTCTTTTTTACAGCTGCACAGTGCTCTGTTGTTAAGACGTACCATTGATTACACGACTGGTCCCTTCCTTTCTTGCCCTGGCAATGGCAACCACCCTGCTCACTGGTTCCCCTGCTGTGCCCAGTCTGGCTCTTCCCAAGGAGTGGGCATGCACGTGGGATTTTGTTTGTATTCAGGTATGGTGAAGCCAACAAATTGAGGGATGACTGCCATTGAAGACACTTTGTTATTCAAAGTTTCTGAGAGGGGGCACCCTGTGCCACACAAGGCCACACGGGGAAGCACTGGGGTCAGTCAGGAAGGGGAAGGAGTGAGGGGGAAGCATGTGTAGGAGCTTTAATTATGGTTTCCATGGGACTGGAACAGCACAGTACACAGATTTAGGACTGGCCCACCAAAGTACTTTATCCACCTGGACAGGTCATTAGTTGAGGATGGGCCTGTGACTCAAGCAGGGACAATCAGAGTCTTCTCTGGGATTGATGTATCACCAAGAAGAAGACAAGTTCTATTTCAGCTAGAGTTGCTGAGATCAGAGAATATAATCATGGGACTGCTTTGGCCATCTTGCCACAAGGTGGAAGGAAAGAGCCTCCAGAGGTCAAGTGAACACAGAAGGAAGCAGAACAAAGACACGGAGTCAGCAGACTCAACGTCATGTGTGGGGTGCCTGGGTGGCTCAGTTGGTTAAGCATCTAACTCTTGATTTTGGCTCAGGTCATGATCTCATGGTTTGTGAGACTGAGCCCCACATCAGGCTCTATGCTGACAGTGCGGAGCCTGCTTGGGATTCTCTCTCTCCCTCCTGTCTCTCTGCTCCTCCCCTGCTTGCTGTCTCAAAATAAATAAATAAACATAAAAAAATTAGAAGAAAAAAGGTAACTGAGGTAAAATGAGATCATATGGATGGGCCCTAATTGATAGGGCTGTATTTGGATAGGGGCTTCAATGAGGTGTAAGTTAAATTGAGGCACCCAATTTCAATTATGAGGCCCTCATAATCCAATATGACTGGTGTCCTTGTAAGAGGGACAGACAGGGCTGTGCTTGCACACGGGGATGACCAGGTGAAGAGGCAAGAGGGTGGCCATCTGCAAGCTAAGGAGAAGAGTCTCAGGAGAAACCAATCCTGCTGGCACTTTGATCTTGGACTTTCAGCCTCCAGAACCATGAGAAAATGAATCTCTGCTGTTGAAGTCTTCGACTTAACAGATGGTCAATATGTTCCTGCAGCAGATTACAGATGGCTGCAAGTTTCCGGCACTCTTCCCATGGAGAAATGGGGTCTCAAGTTTTCTCTTCCCCTTGAATCTTGGCTAGGTTATGACTTGCTCAAAGAGAATATGATGGAAGTGACACTCTGTTAATTCCAGGCATAGCCTTAAAGAGGGCTGGTGACTTCTGCCTTGGAAGAGACCATGATAAAAGAGGCCCTGATACTCCATGGAAAGTGAGAGGGGCCCAGATGAGCCCAGCCTTCTGGCTGTCCCCAGAAAAATGTCAGGCACATGAATGAAGGCACCTTGGACTTTCCAGCCCAGCCAGCCCAGCTGCTAGATAAATACCAAGTGACCTCTGTGGATACCACGGAAGCTGAAGAATCATTCAGGTGGGACCCCATTGTTTAAGGTTGCTAAGTTTAGGGGACTGTGATATAGCAAAAAATAACTGTTCTTCGTTCCTTGAGCTTGCTGAATTCAGCTCTCGTCACTCACAACTGGAAGAGTGCTGACTAATGTGACTTATCTCCTTAAACCATTATCCCATATGCATCATCTGTCGAAACTTCCACCTATGACAGTTTAAACCATAATAACCCCATGCTCTGCCTAGTTCTGTTCTATTCAGCTTTCTTTTTAAGTTTATTTATTTTGAGAGAGAGTAGAAACGTGCACGTGAGCAGGGGAGGGGCAGAAAGTTGGGAGGGGGAAGAGAGAGAATCCCAAGCAAGCTCCACGCTGGCAGCACAGAGTCCAATGTGGGGCTCAGTCTCATGAACCATGAGATCATGACCTGAGCCGAAACCAAGAGTCAGACAACTGACTGAGCCACCCAGAATCCCCTGTTCTGTTCAGCTTTCTTGGGCTCTTATCTAGTCTTGTGTTTCTGTTTTTTGATCTCACAGATGGAGGCTTCAGATCCAAGACGCCACACTCTATGCCTGTGAAGGCCCTCCTGGTTTCTCTTCCTTATCGCCCGCCCCACTGGGTACAACAGCTGTCCACTTGAGTGCCCTCTCCCTCCAGCTTCCACGGTCTCTTTGGTCTCCCATCCTGTCACCCTTCCATGGCACCCTGCCTGTAAAGACCCGAACCCAGATCAATGCTGCCATTCACCCCTTTTCTTCCAATGACAGCTGCTGGGAGGAAACATGACATAGCAATGATGCTTGGTGCTGCTAACAGTGAGCAACCTGCAGTCACCACTGGGCCTCTGTTGCTGGTCACCAATTGTTTTCCTTGCTCTTGTGTGGATCCCACTCATTCTCTTCAGTGGCCATTCCAACCACCTCACCGTCATTACCATTCTTCCTGATCCCTTCCCCCCACCCCTGCCCCCACCCACGTCATTTTCAGCAGACAGCCTCACCATACTTCTTCGCTGTGAAAAAAAAAAAACCCCATGTGCAGGAGGGCCTTACCCCCACCCCAACCAGAATCATAAACGCCACCTAAAGTGAACAAGAAAGATACAGAACATCTGCCATTGGATCCTGAGAATAATTTTGAGAGCAAGGATAACTGGCTGCCTCAGACAGTGCCATTTCAGTGGCTTGGTGCTGGAGAGCAGACAGCAAGGGATTGAAGAATGTAAGAGTGAGGAGAATCAGGCAGCGGGTATAAGCTATTCTCTCTCAAAAAAATTGGATGGTACATAGGAGGAGTTTGTGGGGCTGATGCAGGAGAGATTTGGGCATGTTTATATCTTTCAGAGAAAGAGCCAGTAAAGAAAGAATGATTGAAAATTTAAGAGACAGAAGGGATGATTAATGGAGTGTGGAGGAGATGGATTCCCAGGCAAAGGAGGTGAGGCTAACCTTGGACAGGAAGAGGGATGCCTCTTTCTCTGAAAAAGGCAAGGAGTAAATCACCAGTGCCGGTGGCAATAACTGTAGGGGTTGGGGAGTTGCTTTTTTTTCCTATGAAGTAGGTAAAACTTATTGCTGAGAGTGAGGGGGAGGAGATAAGAGAGTTGGGGAAAGAAAGAAAACATCTGTGATACTGACAGAGTTGTCTGTTGGGGAAAGCTCCCCAAGGGTGGGTGGGAAGATTTCTAGGCGGTATGGATGCTACCCTCCCCTACAAAGATGGAGATTCTGAAGCAGTGGGGTCCTCTTGGTATCTCCCTTGTATGGACCTCTAACCTAGCACTTGTTCACTTGTCTACGTCCCTGGAAAATACGGGACACAGGGCAAGAGGTAAAACAGAAAAAAAAAGTCTGAGAAATATTAAATGAGAAGCCCACAGTGAAAGGAAAGGGTGGATGCAGTCATGGCTGAAAAATTTCCAGAATTGATAAAATACACCAGATCACAGATGAAAAAGGCCAGATGTACACAACAACAAACAAACAAACAAACAAAAAAAGATATCCACACTTAGTCACAATAGAGTAGAACCATTAGCACTGACAATATCTGAAAGCCCAGTTGCCTGGGCGGGGGGGGGGGGCCTTGA